AATCTCCCCTATCTTGCTGAGTTCTCTTTATCTTGCTGAATCCCCTCTCCCATTCTAAATCACCCCTACCTTTTTAAGTCATCCCTGCCTTGCTGAATTCCCTCTATGCTTCTTAATCAATCCTACCTTGCTTACTCACCCCTACCTTGCTTTTTTCGACTTCCTTGCTGAATTCCCCCTACCTTGTTCAATCACTCCTACCTTGCCTGATGACCCCTACCTTGACTAATCATCCCTACATTGATTAATTACCTGAAAATGAGAGATTTCCCTATATCCTGCTGAATCACCCCTACCATGCTTAATCACCACTACCTTGGTCAATTCCCCCTTCCTTGCTTAATCACACGTACCTTGCACAATCACCGCTTCCCTTACATATCACCCCTTCCTCGCATAATAAACCCTACCTTTTTTAATCCCCCCTTCCTTGTCGAATCAACCCAACCTTGCTGAATTCCCTCTTCCTTGCTTAATCACCCCTACCTTGATCAATCACCCCTACCTTGCTGAATCACTGATACATTGCTTGATCCCCCCTACCTTGCTGAATTTCGCCTTACTTGCTGAGCCGCCCCTTCCTTGCTTAATCACCCCTACCATGCTGAATATATACTTCCTTGCTGAATTCCCCCTACCTTGTTAAAACACTCCTACCTTGTTTAATCACCCCTACCTTGCAGAGTGCTCACTACATTGTTTAATCACCTCTACCTTGCTTCAGCACCCCTACCTTCTTGAATCACCTCTATTTTGCTGAATCACCTCTGCCTTGCATAACCACCCCTACCCTTAGTAATCACCCCTTCCTTGCCTAATCACCCTTAAATTGTTGAATTCCTCCTATCTTGCTGAAGTCACCCTATGTTGCTGAATCACCCCTAGCTTGCTTAATCACACCTACCTTGCTTAATCACCCTTGCCTTGCTGAATTTCCACAACCTTGTTCGCACACTCTTACCTTGCTTAATCACCCCTACCTTGCTGAATCCCGCCTACCTTGCTGAATCCCGCCTACCTTGCTGGAACCCCCTTTCCTTGATGAATTGCCCCACCTTGCTTAATCAACCCTACCCTGCTGAATTCCTACTACCTTGCTGAATTCCACCTACCTTACCTAATCACCCCTACCTTGCTTAATCACCCCTACCTTGATGAATCCCCCCTTCCTTGTTGAATCGCCCCTACCTTGCTGAATCCCTTCTTCCTTGCTGAATTCTCCCAATCTTGCTGAATACCCACTCCCTTTCTGAGTCATCCCTATCTTTATTAATCATCCCTACCTTGCTAAATTCCCACTGATCAACCCTACCTTGCAGAATTCCCCCTTCCTTGGTTAATCACCCCTGCCTTGCTCAATCACCCCTACCTTGCTTAATCAACCCAACCTTGCTAAAGCCCCCCTTCCTGGTCGAAAAGGGCACCGGTCAAAAAGGGCACCGGTCGAAAAGCGCACCGGTCGAAAAAGCGCACCTGTCGAAAAGCGCACCGGTCGAAAAGCGCACCGGTCGAAATGGGCACCGGTCGAAAAGCGCTCCGGTCGAAAAGCGCACCGGTCGAAAAGGGCACGGTCAAAAAGCGCACCGGTCGAAACGCGCACCGGTCGAAAAGCGCACCGGTCGAAAAGTGCAACGGTCGAAAAGCGCACCGGTTATGAAGCGCACTGGTCGAAAAGCGCACCGGTCGAAAAGCGCACCGGTCGAAAAAGAGCACTGGTTGGAAATTGCACTGGTCGAAAAGGGCACCGGTCGAAAAGCGCACCGGTCGAAAAGGGCACCGGTCGAAAAGGGCACCGGTCGAAAAGCGCACCGGTCGAAAAGGGCACCGGTCGAAAAGGGCACCGGTCGAAAAGCGCGCCGGTCGAAAAGCGCACCGGTCGAAAGCGCACCGGTCGAAAAGGCCACCGGTCGAAAAGTGCACCGGTCGAAATGCGCACCGATGGTGGGAGTTTAGACCGGATGGTGGTGGGAGTATAGATGGGTGGTGGTGGGAGTATAGACCGTGTGGTGGTGGGATTTTAGACCAGGTGGTGGTGGGAATTTGGCCAAGGTGTAGAAGGAGTTGAGACTGAGTCGTGCTAGGAGTTTAGACAGGGTGGTCGTGGTAGTTCTTTCCCGTTGGTTGTGGGAGTTTAGACCGGGTGTTGGTGGGAGTTTAGATTGTGTGGTGGTGGGAGTTTAAACCATGTGTTCGTGGTAGTTTAGACAGGCTGGTTGTGTGAATTTAGACTGATTGGTGGTGGGAGTTGAGACTTGGTGGTGATGGGAGTTTAGACCGGATGGTGGTGCAAGTTTAGACCGGGTGGTGGTGGGAGTTTAGACTGGATAGTGGTGGGAGTCTAGACCGGATGGTGGTGGGAGTTTAGACCGGGTGGTGGTGGGAGTTTAGACCTGTTGGTGATGAGAGTTTAGACCGAATGGTGTTGGGAGTTTAGAACGATTGGTGGTGGTGGGAGTTAAGACCGGATGATGGTGGGTTTTTTGATTGGGTGCTGGTGGGAGTTTAGACCGGGTGGTGGTGGTAGTTTAGACTGGGTGGTGGTGGGAGTTTAGACCAATTGGTGGAGGGAGTTTAGACCGGGTGGTGGTTGGAGTTTAGACCGGGTGGTGAGGGAGTTTAGACCGGGTGGTGGTGGGAGTTTAGACCGAATGGTGGTGGGAGTTTATACCGGTTGGTGGTGGGAGTTTAGACCGGATGATGGTGGGAGTTTGGATCGGGTGCTGGTGGGAGTTTAGACCGGGTGGTGGTGGGAGTTTAGACCAGTTGGTGGAGGGAGTTTAGACCGGGTGGTGGTTGGATTTTAGATTGGGTGGTGAGGGAGTTTAGACCGGGTGGTGGTGGGAGCTTAGACCGGGTGGTGGAGGGAGCTTAGACCGGGTGGTGCTGGGAGCTTAGACGGGATGATGGTGGGAGCTGGGATCGGGTGCTGGTGGGAGTTTGGACGGGGTGGTGGTGGGAGTTTAGACCGCGTGGTGGTGGTCATTTAGACTGGTTGGTGGTGGGGGTTTAGACCGGGTGGTGGTGGAAGTTTAGAGCGGTTGGTGGTGGGAGTTTAGACCGGGTGGTGGTGGGAGTTTAGACCGGTTGGTGGTGGGAGTTTAGACCGGGTGGTGGTGGGAGTTTAGACCTTTTGGTGGTTGGAACTCAGACCGGGTTGTGGTGGGAGTTTTAGACCGGTTGGTGGTGGGAGTTTAGACCGGTTGGTTGTGGGAGTTTAGACCGGATGATGGTGGGAGTTTGGATCGGGTGCTGGTGGGAGTTTAGACCGGGTGGTGGTGGGATTTTAGACCAGTTGGTGGAGGGAGTTTAGACTGGGTGGTGGTTGGATTTTAGATTGGGTGGTGAGGGAGTTTAGACCGGGTGGTGGTGGGAGCTTAGACCGGGTGGTGGAGGGAGCTTAGACCGGGTGGTGCTGGGAGCTTAGACCGGATGATGGTGGGAGCTTGGATCGGTTGCTGGTGGGAGTTTGGACCGGGTGGTGGTGGGAGTTTAGACCGCGTGGTGGTGGTCATTTAGACTGGTTGGTGGTGGGGGTTTAGACCGGGTGGTGGTGGAAGTTTAGACCGGTTGGTGGTGGGAGTTTAGACCGGGTGGTGGTGGGAGTTTAGACCTTTTGGTGGTGGGAACTCAGACCGGGTGGTGGTGCGAGTTTAGACTGGGTGGTAGTGGGAGTTTTGACCGGTTGGTGGAGGGAGTTTAGACCGAGTGGTTGATGGAGCTTAGACCTGGTTGTGGGGGAGTTTAGACGAGGGGGTGGTGGGAGTTTAGACCTGGTGGTTGTGGGAGATAAGACCGGGTTGGTGGTGGGTGTTGAGACCGGATGATGTTGGGAATTTGGATCGGGTGCTGGTGAGCGTTTAGACTGGGTGGTGGTGGGAGTTTAGACCGGGGTGGTGGTGGGAGTTTAGACCGGGTGCTGGTGGGAGTTTAGGCCGGGTGGTGGTGGGAGTTCAAACCGGGTGGTGGTGGGATTTTAGACCAGGTGGTGGTGGGAATTTAGGCCGGGTGGTTGTAGTAGATGAGACCGAGTCGTGCTGGGAGTTTAGACTGGATGTTGGTGGCAGTTTAGACCAGTTTTTGGAGGGAGTTTAGACCAGGTTGTGAGGGAGTTTAGACCGGGTGGTGGTGGGAGTTTAGACCGGGTGGTGGAGTGACTTTAGACCAGGTGGTAGTGGGAATTTAGACCGTGTCGTGGTGGGTGTTTAGACCGGTTGGTGGTGGGAATTTAGTCTGGGTGGTGGTAGAAGTTTAGACCGGGTGGTGGTAGTAGATAAGAGCGGATGGTGGTGGGAGTATAGACCAGGTGGTGGTGGGAGTTTAGACCCGATGGTGGTGGGAGTGTAGACTGGGTGGTGGTGGGAGTATAGACAAGAGGTGGTCAGATTCAAGACCGAGTGGTGGTGGGATTTTAGACCCGGTGGTGGTGGGTTTTTTTATTGGGTGGTGTTGGGAGTTTAGACTGGGTGGTGGTGGGAGTTTAGACTGGATGGTGGTGGGAGTTCATACCGTGTGGTCGTGGGTGTTTAGACGGGCTGGTTGTGGGAGTTTAGACTATGTGGTGGTGGGAGTTTAGACGTGGTGGTGGTGGGAGTTTTGACCTGGTATTGGTGGGAGTTTTTTTTTGGATGGTGAAAGGAGCTAAGATTGGGTGGCTGCTATACCTCCTGCCAGTCAAACCACCATAGCGTCGTCAAATCTTCATGGAAGTTCATGATTAACCTTGCTGCAGACAAACGACAGCAACGCACCCGAGATCACCGTTTCAGCTAGCGAGCAGATCGTTATCAATATTTGAAGCCGTCTGACGGAAATCCGACTGTGCTCTCAATCTCATTTTAGGCACATTTGAGCCTATTGTGATTATAACAAGTGGTATCAGAGCCCCTTGGAGCCGTCTCGACCATGCCTAGACCTGAGGAAGGGGGTGGCAGAGGTGCTGGAGGCAGAGAAGACGCCCAAGCACAAGGTCAACACCAAGATCCACCCGTTGCTCCGGTGCAACCTAGCCTTGGACCCTCTAGGGATGAGCCTAGAGTGTTTGGCCTTGACAAGTTCAACGGTGACAACTATGCTGTGTGGTCCTTCAAGATGGAGAACATCTTTGACCACTATGATCTGCTGGAGGTGATGGAAGGAACGGAGAACCGCCCCGAGAACGACCCGGAGAAGAGCCGTGGGTGCGGAAGTGCGCACAAGGCTACCTTCTACTTGGGCAAGCGTTGGGGAGCAGCCAAATCCGTCACATCAGTCATTTTCAGCGTGAACCAGCAAAGGGACCAAAGGCATGGGCTGCTCTCAAGGGTGTACACGCTCCTGCAACAGCGGCGGTGGCTGTGGTTTTGGAGCGGCAAATGGCGGCACTTCGAATTGACGAAGGCGAACCGGTGGAGGAAGGAGTGTAGAAATTCCTAATTTTTTCATGCGTGGTTAGTGTATGGGCTCAAGAGCATGCTGGCCTGTGCTCGGATGCAAAACCCAGGTGTGTGGGAAGTTATGGTATCTCAAGCGTTTTCGCATGTCCAGTTCTTGAGTGGTACCCCACGAAACAACAACCTGTTTTTTCATTTAGGATCTTGTTCACTAAAACTCTTTCCATTTGCATACATAGCTAGTGTATGGCCTCAAGAGCATCATGGCTTGTGCTAAGATCCAAAATCCAAGTGGTTGGGAAGTTATAGTATGTCAACTATTGTCCCATGACTAAACACTTGAGCACTGCCCAACAAAACCTCAACTTTCATTTTGTTTTCAGATACAAAGCAATTTCTAAGCCCTTGGTTTGCAGGAACAGTTAGTGCATGGGCTCAAGATTATCGTGGCTTGTGCTCAGATCCAAAACCTAAGTGTGCAAAAAGTTATGGTATTATATGTGTTCCTTTTTCCAGTAATTGAGCATTTCCCTACAAGAACTCAACTTGGTTATCTTGCTATTGAGAGTGCTCAAACATCTTGCTTTTTGCATGCATGGTTAGTGTATGGGCTCAAGAGCATGCTGGCCTGTGCTGGGATGCAAAACCCCAGGTGTGTGGGAAGTTATGGAATCTCAGGCATTTTTGCATGTCCAAGTTCTTGAGTGGTACCCCACCAAACAACAACCTGTTTTTTCATTTAGGATCTTGTTCACTAAAAACTCTTTCCCTTTGCATACATAGCTAGTGTATGGCCTCAAGAGCATCATGGCTTGTGCTCAGATCCAAAATCCAAGTGGTTGGGAAGTTATACTATGTCAACTATTGTCCCATCACACAACACTTGAGCATTGCCCAACAAAACCTTAACTTCTCATTTTGTATTTCAGAGACAAAGCAATTTCTAAATCCTCGTTTTTGCATGAACAGTTAGTGCATTAGCTCAAGACAATTGTGGCTTGTGCTCAGATCCAAAACCTAAGTGTGCAAAAAAGTAATGGTATTGTATGTGTTCCTTTTTCCAGTACTTGAGCATTTTCCTACGAGACCTCAACTTGGTTATCTTGCTATTGAGCGTGCTCAAACATCCTAATTTTTGCATGCGTGGTTAGTGTATGGGCTCAAGAGCATGCTGGCCTGTGCTCGGATGCAAAACCCAGGTGTGTGGGAAGTTATGGTATTCCAAGCGTTTTCGCATGTCCGAGTTCTTGAGTGATACCCCACCAAACAACAACCTGTATTTCATTTAGGATCTTGTTCACTAAAACTCTTTCCCTTTGCATACATAGCTAGTGTATGGCCTCAAGAGCATCATGGCTTGTGCTCACATCCAAAATCCAAGTGGTTGGGAAGATATAGTATGTCAACTATTGTCCCATCACCAAACACTTGAGCATTACCAACAAAACCTTAACTTTTCATTTTGTTTTTCAGAGACAAAGCAATTTTCTAACCCTTGGTTTGCATGAACAGTTAGTGCATTAGCTCAAGATAATTGTGGCTTTGTGCTCAGATCCAAAACCTAAGTGTGCAAAAGTTATGTTATTGTATGTGTTCCTTTTTCCAGTACTTGAGCATCTTCCTATGAGACCTCAACTTGGTTATCTTGCTATTGAGCATGCTCAAACATCTTGCTTTTTGCATGCGAGGTTAGTGGTATGGGCTCAAGAGCATACTGGCCTGTGCTCGGATGCAAAACCCAGGATTGTGGGAAGTTATGGTACTGTATCTCAAGTGTTTTCGCATGTCCTTGTTCTTGAGTGGTACCCCACCAACAACAACCTGTTTTTTCATTTAGGATCTTGTTCACTAAAACTCTTAGCATTGCCCAACAAAACCTCAACCTTTCATTTTGTTTTTTCAGAGAAAAAAGCAATTTCTAAGCCTTGTTTTTGCATGAACAGTTAGTGCATGGGCTCAAGATAATCGTGGCTTGTGCTCAGATCCAAAACCTAAGTGTGCAAAAAGTTATGGTATTTAATGTGTTCCTTTTTCCAGCACTTGAGCATCTTCCTACGAGACCTCAACTTGGTTATCTTGCTATTGAGTGTGCTCAAACATCCTAATTTTGCATGCGTGGTTTAGTGTATGGGCTCAAGAGCATGCTGGCCTGTGCTCGGATGCAAAACCCAGTTGTGTGGGAAGTTATGGTATCTCAAGCGTTTTCGCATGTCCAAGTTCTTGAGTGGTACCCCACCAAACAACAACCTGTTTTTCATTTAGGATCTTGTTCACTAAAACTCTTAAGCATTGCCCAACAAAACCTCAACCTTTCATTTTGTTTTTTCAGAGAAAAAGCAATTTCTAAGCCCTTGTTTTGCATGAACAGTTAGTGCATGGGCTCAAGATAATCGTGGCTTGTGCTCAGATCCAAAACCTAAGTGTGCAAAAAGTTATGGTATTGTATGTGTTCCTTTTTCCAGCACTTGAGCATTTTCCTACGAGACCTCAACTTGGTTATCTTGCTATTGAGTGTGCTCAAACATCCTAATTTTTGCATGCGTGGTTAGTGTATGGGCTCAAGAGCATGCTGGCCTGTGCTCGGATGCAAAACCCAGTGTGTGGGAAGTTATGGTATCTCAAGCGTTTTCGCATGTCCAAGTTCTTGAGTGGTACCCCACAAACAACAACCTGTTTTTTCATTTAGGTCTTTGTTACAAAACTCTTTCCTTTGCATACATAGCTAGTGTATGGCCTCAAAGAGCATCATGGCTTTGTTAGATCAAAATCCAAGTGGTTGGGAAGTTATAGTATGTCAACTATTGTCCCATGTAAACACTTGAGCATTGCCCAACAAAACCTCAACTTTCATTTTTTTTTCAGACAAAGCAATTTCTAAGCCCTTTTTTGCATGAACAGTTAGTGCATGGGCTCAAGATATCATGGCTTGTGCTGAGATAAAAAACTAAGTGTGCAAAAAGTATGGTATCGTATGTGTTCCTTTTCCAGTACTTGAGCATTTTCCTTCGAGACCTCAACTTGGTTATCTTGCTATTGAGCATGCTCAAACATCTTTCTTTTTCATGCATGGTTAGTGTATGGGCTCAAGAGCATGCTGGCTTGTGCTCAGATGCAAAACCCAGGTGTGTGGGAAGTTATGGGTATCTCAAGCGTTGTCGCATGTCCAAGTTCTTGAGTGGTACCCCACTAAACAACAACCTGTTTTTTCATTTAGGTGCTTTGTTTACCAAAACTCTTTCCTTTGCATACATAGCTAGTGTATGGCCCAAGAGCATCATGGCTTGTGCTTAGATCAAAATCCAAGTGGTTGGGAAGTTAGAGTATGTCAAGTATTGTCCATGTCTAAACACTTGAGCATGCCCAACAAACCTCAACTTTCATTTTTTTTTCAGACACTGAGCAATTTCTAAGCCCTTGTTTTGCATGAAAGTTAGTGCAATGGGCTCAAGATAGTCGTGGCTTGTGCTCGGATAAAAAACCTAAGTGTGCAAAAAGTTATGGCATCGTATGTGTTTCTTTTTCCAGTACTTGAGCATTTCCCTTCGAGACCTCAACTTGGTTATCTTGCTATTGAGCATGCTCAAACATCTTTCTATTTTCATGCATGGTTAGTGTATGGGCTCAAGAGCATGCTGGCTTGTGCTCAGATGCAAAACCCAGGTGTGTGGGAAGTTATGGTATCTCAAGCGTTTTCGCATTCCAAGTTCTTTGAGTGGTACCCCACTAAACAACAACCTGTTTTTTTCATTAGGTGCTTTGTTTACCAAAACTCTTTCCTTTTGCATACATAGCTAGTGTATGGCCCCAAGAGCATCATGGCTTGTGCTTAGATCTAAAATCCAAGTGGTTGGGAAGTTAGAGTATGTCAAGTATTGCCCATGTAAACACTTGAGCATTGCCCAACAAAACCTCAACTCTTCATTTTTTTTTCAGACACTGAGCAATTTCTAAGCCCTTGTTTGCATGAAATTTAGTGCATGGGCTCAAGATAGTCCGTGGCTTGTGCTCGGATAAAAAAACCTAAGTGTGCAAAAAGTTATGGCATCGTATGTGTTTCTTTTTCCAGTACTTGAGCATTTTCCTTGAGACCTCAACTTGGTTATCTTGCTATTGAGCATGCTCAAACATCTTTCTATTTTCATGCATGGTTAGTGTATGGGCTCAAGAGCATGCTGGCTTGTGCTCAGATGCAAAACCCAGGTGTGTGGAAGTTATGGTATCTCAAGCGTTGTCGCATGTCCAAGTTCTTGAGTGGTACCCCACTAAACAACAACCTGTTTTTTCAGTAAGGTGCTTTGTTTACCAAAACTCTTTCCTTTTGCATACATAGCTAGTGAATGGCCCCAAGAGCATCATGGCTTGTGCTTAGATCTAAAATCCAAGTGGTTGGGAAGTTAGAGTATGTCAAGTATTGTCCCATGTCTAAACACTTGAGCATTGCCCAACAAAACCTCAACTCTTCATTTTTTTTTTCAGACACTGAGCAATTTCTAAGCCCTTGTTTGCATGAAATTTAGTGCATGGGCTCAAGATAGTCGTGGCTTGTGCTCGGATAAAAAACCTAAGTGTGCAAAAAGTTATGGCATCGTATGTGTTTCTTTTTCCAGTACTTGAGCATTTTCCTTCGAGACCTCAACTTGGTTATCTTGCTATTGAGCATGCTCAAACATCTTTCTATTTTCACGCATGGTTAGTGCATGGGCTCAAGAGCATGCTGGCTTGTGCTCAGATGCAAAACCCAGGTGTGTGGGAAGTTATGGTATCGCAAGCGTTGTCGCATGTCCAAGTTCTTGAGTGGTACCCCACTAAACAACAACCTGTTTTTTCATTAAGGTGCTTTGTTTACCAAAACTCTTTCCTTTTGCATACATAGCTAGTGTATGGCCCCAAGAGCATCATGGCTTGTGCTTAGATCTAAAATCCAAGTGGTTGGGAAGTTAGAGTATGTCAAGTATTGACCCATGTCTAAACACATGAGCATTGCCCAACAAAACCTCAACTCTTCATTTTTTTTTCAGACACTGAGCAATTTCTAAGCCCTTGTTTGCATGAAAATTTAGTGCATGGGCTCAAAGA